AGAGGAGCTGGCAGCAGAAGCAGGAAGGAATCTGATCCCATTCGAGTACACAGGTCACTTGAAATACTTTTCAAGAAAGAGTCGATTTGGCCAAAATTTCTCTTTTGAGAAAAAACAAGAATCCCTCAATGAGCCGTTTTGTTTTTTCCATTCAAAATTGCAGTCCCCAACACAAAGTAATAATCGCTTTTTAAAGCTGACTGACAGAAAGCATTTCCACCTTCTTTAAATAAATAAATAAGCTAACCTACAAATTTTCAAGTTCGCTGCAGAGGAGATTTGCAGCTTGTTTCCCTGTCCAGAACAAAGCCTCATGGAAAGGATCATCACCTCCAGCCCACCCCTACCTGCTGGGACCTGCCTTGGTGCTTTAATCTGAGGGAGCAGCCTCCGAACCTTCAGGCAGGCCACAGGACAACTGAAGCGAGTCCTGGGGAACGCAAGCATGCATCTGAGCTGCAAAGCTCAAGCGCGAATTTTTCCAGCGGGGCTGGCAATGGACCTGTCTCCTAAAAAGCGAGCTCTTGCCTCACACACGTCTTCTGTGCAGGCAAACCTTTCGGGACAGGGCAATCCTTCCGTGAGCAAAAAGGCCAAAAACGTGGCGATGCTCAATACCACTGCTTGCCTCAGCTGGGGTCGGCACTTGCACCGGCAGCTCAGGGTACGGCTGAATTGAGAACCATCCCACCGCTTTCAGAAAAGCCAAAATTTGCACCTAAAAGCGCAGCAAAAAACATCACATAGGGAACTTCCTGCAGGGGTGCTGAAAAAGGGGGCGATATCAAGTCCTCGACTAGCGACAAGACTCCCTACCTATTTTTGGGGTGCATCTCGCCTGGCCCGGTTCACCCGTCCAGCCTTGGGAAGTGGAGCACGTGCCGGAGCCAGGAGCACGCTCACCATGCAGCCCTGGACTGGCACTCATTTCACGGCTGGGCGTTGGAAAACGAGCATCCAGGCTTCCCTCTAAATCTCTGCACACATTTAGAAACCTATTTGCTTTTAGGATGCCTAATTCCTATTGATTGTGGGGATTTTAGTACCCTCGAAAACCTTCGCCTTGTTTTCTCTGTGCCTTAGTTTCACGCCTCCATTATGGGAATAACTCTACTTTGGCACAGGTGGGGACCAATTAAATATATTACGAAACAGCTCTCTCTGATGGAGAAGTAAAGAGGCACTGCACGCTGCACACGCAATCAGGAAAGCTCCCACTCTCTTCCTATTCCAGCGCAAAAGTAGAAACTAGGATACAACACGCTATACATATACAATCAAAAATACGCAAAAATATCACCCCACAAAAATACGAGGTGGAGGGGTTTTCACTCTACGTGCTCCATCTGGAGGCCGAGCGTCAGCTGACAGCACCCGCTGCGCTGCCATCGAAGGGTCCCGTGGCCGTCCGAAATGCTTAGGGTGGCAAAATCATTGTGTGCCCAGCCTTACAACCGCAATACCGCGTCCGTGGGCGTCGCTGCAGGGGCGACCGCGCTCACGGGGTTACCGGCAGCCGTGTGACTCGGCTGAATCACTAATAAAAAGGGA